TGAAGATAACTTTCAACTCCCAATCACTTCATTTAAATCCCGATTCAGAATATTTTTTTAAAGTTATGCATTTGAAATGCCGACACCTCTTCTTATTCTAGGATTTTTGTTATGCTCTCCGTGTTAATGCTACAAGTATACATATATAATCTTAAAAATTCATTATTAAAAAGGTTAAAAGCAAGGTATTACCTCAACGCCCTTTAAGCTTGGTAGAATGTTGTATCAATATAACATATAGCATGAATTTGCTTGTTTTCAAGCTTAACATTCTTGAATTCTTTAATAATTTGTTAAACCTAATTATATATAGATATGACATCAATATTCTTTAATTTTTATTATATGTTAAGCTTAAATACATGTAAATTTAGTAAAATAACAAACTCAACACCTCTAATTTCAATTATGCATGAATCCAATTACATGTGGATATAACTAGATTTAAATCCATCCAGTATGTTTAACAACATGTTGAGCTCAAATATATTTAAATCTAGTAAATTATTAGAGCTAATATTATTGATTTCAGTTATATATTAAACTCAATTACATGCAGGTTTAGTGATATATTAGATTCAATATCTTAAGATTTAGTTATATATTAAGTTTAAATACATAAAAATTTATAAAGTTATTATATTTAATATTCATGAGTTCAGTTATATATTAAATCCAATTAGATATAAATTTAGCAAGCTGTTAAAATCAATTCAACGTTATTAATTTAATTACGTGGTGAGTGGAACACCTGCACCCTTGGCTGTATGGAGTAACCGATGCAAATCATCATTAACTTTAATTACCTTCATCATAACTTAACCATTTAGATGCCGCCTTGAATCCTATCCAGCTATCCTCCCCTTTTACAGAAACATGTGAGGAGTTTGCTTTGCAAGAATGATTTGCTGTGATTCGATATGAGACATTGGAATTTTTAAAATCCAATCTTAATGCATTTGACATTGCTAAGGTCATAATCTTCTAATTTAGTCACAAATTCCGAATGTAGATATATGTATATGAAGAATAAGTGACAGCTACAAAATTCCATGAACATGATTTTGGCTCTAGTTCTTGGAGGTCCCTCCATGTGCCGATGAAGTCATTGCATCAGTTTATTTATTTTTAATTAATTTGGACAAGTTGAAAATCGACCACCAAATGTAGAACTACCCATCCATATGATTATAGGTAAGTCACGAAGCTCGTCTTCTCTGTTGAACTTGATTTCTTGGTGGCAACAACTACCTTGCACATGGGAGTTGAGGAAACCTATCGGTGTCCCTCTATGGATCCATGCATCTTTTCTGTGAATGGTTTTGATTTATTTTTTTATACTATAAAGGGTATTTTTAAATTAACTTTTACATCAATTCTATTTTTTTTTTTTAAAAAAAAGAGCCAACTTTATTGATCATCAATCAGACTTTTTATTTTTAGGAATCTGCAGGAGGGTTTTTTTTTTTTAAAAAAAAAGAAAACCTACGGAGGTTTTGCTTAATTTTTATGTTATAATTATTTTGAGCTCATACGATAATACTATATATTTATATAATTCCTTAAAAAATAAATAATTTCCATAAAAATGATGGTTTTTTAAAAAAATTAGTACAATTGATTAAAAAATTGATAGAATAAGACATTTTAAAAAAATTCAATAAATTGCACAGTTTTATACTTGTGGCGATTCAAAAACATGTTATAATATTTCATTTCTAATCATGATATCTTTACAGGGATAAATGTCATGTTTTTCAATTATAATATCATTAAATGTTCACAATAAATATAAAATTATATCCTTTCATCAGTATTTTTTATATTTATATTATTCTGTCAATATTTTTTATTTGTTGTGCTAATAAGCCAATTTACCCAAAAGTTTTAGCACCATCCACCTCATACGTGATAATTATCAATTCATTGAGATGCCGACAAAACTTCTTTAATAAAACACTTTCAGAATCATAGCAATTTAGGAGGCGGTCTTTGAGATTGTATTTTATGGTAATTTTGAAAATAGTTTTTTTATTTGAAAATTTATTAAATTAAATATTTTTTTATTTTTTTACTATCAAAACTATCACAAAATATTAAAAATATATCTTTTTAAATAAAAAATACTTTTAAAAAATATCTAAAAAATAAAAGTGAAAGTTTTGCATAACACCCCCTTAACGGCTACTTCATTAAAGTCGGTGAGAGCATGATTGTCACAGCACGAAAGAAACAAAAAATGATATGGTTTTGGATAAGAAGTAAATAGGATACAAAAAGACAAAAAATGCAGAAAATCGAAAAAAAAAAAAATACAATAATATTTATATAAAAAAAATATTTTAACATTTTATTTAACTTTCTCTTCAAAATGTGCAAAATAAAAATAAAATTAAAATAATAATTTTTTATTTTTAACTACTTATTTAGCTTTTGCTTTTATGGCCATGGGCCAGAGGCAATACTGCCCATCAATCATGCACTAAAAGGCTGCATTAATCCTGAAAAAGTGGCAGTATTGAAATAATTAGAAACTGCATTTTTTTTTTTAATATAAAGTTCTTCAGAAATACCAAAGCCTGGTCCGACTGCATCCCCAACAGCTGCCAGCTCATATCTGGGTAGGATTGACTTCAAATATCGTCATGGAATTTAGCATCATTTTGTAGAAGAAGCACACCCCACGTTCTGTTTATTTTGTAATTTTAATGCACATTTAGGAATGATTGTGGTTTTTGCATGGAACTCTTATTATTTTTGTGGAAGAGAATGTGACTGGGTCGTCAGCAAATGGCATGCTGGCTTCAGGAATAATATTCATTGGTTATGTGAATCAGTTATTTATATTTCTAGCATCAACCAGCTTCTGGTTATGAAGTTTCTTCAGGTGATGCGAATCCTGTGAAAATTTTCTGAGTTTCCACCAAAATCCCTAGTCATTTAATCATCAATCTTAAGTTTATGGTTATGAAGTTTCTTCAGGCAATGCAGATCCTATAAACAAGTTAGCTGACTGACTGTCCAGTGAAACCCCAGAGAGTGACATCCCGGGAGATGATTGAGAAATTAAGTAGGCGGCAGCAAATTCAGGCAATGCTTGCCATTCAGAAACGGCAGCAGCAGCTTGTCCATCAAAAGTGTTCCCAGGAAAATCAAATCAAAACAGCTTCAAATCTATGCAATCTCGTAATATAATTTACGTTAAGACTCGAGTAGGTAAATCCTCTTTTGGGAAAAGAAACTAATTTAGGGCACCCCTGGATTTTCAAAGAATGGAGAGAGGGGAGATCGTTTAGAGGCCTTCTATGTGCACAAAGTGATTCGAGATTTGGACAGTCAACGATAGAAATGGTGTTTAACTCTGGGAACAAGTCCGGTGAGAAGCATTTGAGAGAAGCTCAGCTAGCCTTTGATTTCAATTTCTCCTACATCAGTGGATGAACAACCTATTTGCTCAATTTCCTTGAGTAAGGACTCTGGGAATTGTGGAATTTACAAACATCGAGATGGGGAAACCTAGAAGGTGATTTCATCCAGTGTAGCCAACGAGAAGCAGCCGCCAACTCAATTGTATTAATGACTGGATACCTAGGAGATGAAGGCTTTATTTCTAACCGATTTGAGGTTTGACATGATAAAATTTAATTGATTTAATTGAACCAATCAAACCTAAATAAAACTGATTAAATTTAATAGTTTTTTTTTCTAAAAGAACATCAATTATTGGCCTGAAACTTGGCACACGCAGGTTTTTATTTCTAATCAGTTTAAAAATTGACCTAATCAAACTTAATTAATTAATTCAATTGAGCTAATCAAACCTAAATAAGACTTGATTTGATTAACTTCAATAATTGTTTTTTAAATAACATTATTTTTCATGTTGATTGAAAATTCTGCAACCACAGGCCTGGTCTAACATGGTTACAAGAGAATAAATACATGTGAAAAAACATTTCATGATTTTCATGGTTTCTTCAAATTATTTAATGAACGACAATATAAAGCATAAATTAAAAAAATCATATAGAATAACAGGTATATAATTAATAATTGATTACACTATATTACATTTCAGATGGCTATCAAGGTCTTGTACAAAATAAATAGTTAACACACAAATCTTATATGATTTGGCTTATTTCCTTGCTCCATAATCAAGCAATGATGCATAAATTAATTCCTGGAGATCCAAATCATGTTAAGGCCCTTCGATAAAAGAGAAACCTTATAATTCATCGTATGTTGGCCTTACCTTGGATGATGTGCAAAAGAAAAATCTTTATATTCCTTCCCCTACATGGACCAATGCCTAGGGTTTACAAATAAATTTTGGTCACGATACGTGCTACCGAAGCTGCTCCCCCAGCTCATAATCCACTAACGTGATCCATAAATCCAGCCCCTGGCAAGTTAAAGATGAGGCAAGTGAATCCTCCTCGAGGCAATTGACTTTGTGGACAAAGATCACAGAAGCCGCACCTTCAACATTGGCTCCGAAGTTCCTCGAGGTATGATAAAGATAGAAATCACAAAGCTTGTTTTTCGAATAGGATTCCTGAAAATCACCCACCACCCGGTTGGTGGGTTTAAGACGGTGGTTAATTTCTGGGAAGACAGCAGAAATGTCTCTGGGCTTGCATAATGGTCAAATTGTTGTCCCAAAACAATTTGGGCTCTGAATTGCCAGTGGCCGCATAGAAGATTGAGGCAGATGGGCCACACTGGCCCAAAAGAGACCCATGTTTTAGATTTGTTCTTTGATTATGTTTCCAAGTTTGGCATCATTTAGTTCGTCAAGAAGTGAAAATCTATCAAATAAGAACAGAATTTTCATATTAATTGCATAAAAAACAAATGAAAATCTATCAAATAAGAACAAAATTTTCATATTAATTGCATAAAAAACAAAAAATGCTTAAGACATCATACACTGTAATATCAAACAACACTGAAACTAACAAGACTAATGATGGTCTTTAAACAAAGGGCAGGTACAGAATTTCAAAATTGTGAGTTTATTCCAGGAAGAAATCCAGCTTGTGCAAACTACAAAACCAAGGGATTAAATTACATGGACAAAAAAATCTCAAGTGGTTGCCTCAAGGTTTTCACATTTTTTTACAACCAAATGAAACAATAAAAGAATATAATACAATAGGCTTAATGGAACTGAGAGCAATCCCTTTTTTACAACCAGGTGAAACAATAAAAGAATATAATGCAATAGGCTTAATGGAACTGAGAGCAATCCATTCTAATTTTGGTCAAATAGGAAAGGATGGATAAATGCAGAATTCAATTCCCAAATCTTGAGTGTGGCCTTCACGTTCACCCCAGTTGCATTGTTGAACAAGAACAGCCTTGCATCCCCGTAAATTGCTTTTGTTGGATAAATTCTTGATGTTATCACTCTTCTTCCTCCTTGAGCAAAACTCTCCACAATTGAATGATCAACCTGCATAAAATATCTCATCAATCATCTTCTAAGTTCGATGTATTTTCTCATAAACCTCATTTAACTTCTTGTGTGGCAATCATGAAGGTGGTCTATCTCCCTTACCAATACCCTCATTTGAAACTTTTCGTCTGTAAACACAGGAACTGTGCTTCCATAAACTTGTTTGTAAACATCTGAAGCTTTTGATGACCTGCATTATGCAACATCTATCAGTTTACAGCACAATCTTGTAGTCAGAACATTGAATTTCCATCATCATTCACCAGCCTGCCTCCCGAGGCAGCGGCGACACCGAAAACCCCACAGACAAGTTCATATATTGAGTGTGCAAAGATTAATCTAAAGAAATCTCTTTTCAGTAAGTAAATTCAATAAATCGATCTCAGACACAAACCTTGTTTCATCAGCACAGAAATAAGTTTCGACAATGCCCTCAGTTGTATTAACTGGCCGGAAAAATACAGGGGTAAGCTCTGAAAGTGTTTGGTCTGCTATGACTAGAAGACCAAATGGTCCCAAAGCACTCCTGTCCACAGCACCACCACTGCAACCATATTTTTCATGTTTTGTCTCTGATATTATCTCTATTTCAAACTCGGCGAATATGTCTAGCTGCCAACATTGTCAAAAGAAATTGTTGCTGAGAAGACATTAATACAACGTTACAAAAAAGAAGCCATGTCCAAGTTTTAGACGAGGGGTGAACAGACCTGTGTGGCCTGTCCAATGTCAAGTGGCACAACCGAACCAGGTCCAACCACAATCTCTGTAAAATCTGTGCTCCTCAGCCTCAAGCTCTCAATCTCTTCCACCGGCCATTGAAGTATATTAGTTCCAGTCTTGTTATCATACAACACGTTCCTTGGAATAGTCTGCAGAACAAACATTGTTAGAATTTTTTTTGCTCTAAATAAATCATGCCCGTCTCCAAAATACTGTGATTAAGCTAAGTCGGCCCGGCGATATGACACAGGTCATATTTCACAAAAATTTAGGGGTTTACCATTCAAATCTTGTTGACATTTTATTTTATTTTTTAAAAAAATAAATCTTTTAACCTTTTAAAAAAATTATATTTTTTAACACATGTGAATATAATCCTATCCTGATCAATTCTTAAATTGAGTTTAATTTTACTTGTAATTATGATAAAAATTGTTTTTTAATGTGTTTTTTTTAATATATCACAATAATATTTTTTTTAATTTTTTTACACCAACACATTAAAAAATCCAAAAATATATAAAAAAATAATTTGAAATAAAAAAATCTGAATTTTTTAAAAGCTGCAAAAAAATCGATTAAAACTTGCAATTATATCAAAACAAAATTAAATAAAGAGTACCTGAACAGAGGCCCATCCCTTGGCAAGATCATCAGTTTCAGTATCAGTTTCATTAATCCAGCCCCATAAGATCCTCCTTTGCTTGTTTTGGTCATAAAACGATTTTGATGCATAATACCTTCCATAATCCACCTGCAACCCAATGCCCACATCCTCCTTCGGATTATCCGGGGTCCATTTATCGGTTACAGGGTCATAAACCCCAATTGCATAGTGGTCCCTTTTTGTGTCATCCAAACTAGCCTTTAGCACGTGTTTGATACCCGCTCCCTGAGCCGAAGTATCCAATCCAGTTGACCCGTTTATTGCAACCGGGTAAAAATCCACACATTCCCACATACCCGTACCCGGAACCGCATGCAAGACCCCTTCCAATAACTCGTAGGTTGTAAAATTGGAGGTTTGGTACACAAGCGAAATGCCAATGCTTTTGTTATGTCTTGATCCGATTGTGATCCGCCATGTCCTATCGGGTCCCATCCATGCTGTTGTCGGGTCCCTAAATTCGTCAGTCTCGGTCCCGTTTGGTGGTGTTATAACCGGATTATTTGGATACTTAACCCAATCAATAAGGAGAGGATCGGATAGATTAGCAGGGTACGCGAGATTTTGGACCTGTACTGACTCGTTAGTTGACCCAGTATAGAGCATCATGATCTGACCATCAGGAAGAAGCGTGGCAGACCCGGTCCACACGCCATTTATATCGTACCAGTGATCTGGGACCATGGCGAACGGCAGGTAAAGCCAATGAATAAGGTCCGGTGATACGGCATGGCCCCATGTAATGTTGCCCCACACAGCTGAATCAGGATTGTATTGGTAGAACAGATGGTACCACCCCTTGTGAAACAATGGACCTGCAGGCAGACAATGGTTAGCCCCGTCACAAAATCACATGCTAGCTTTTCTTGTTGAACCGAACCAAGTTGAGCTAACCACCGGTCAAAAGAGATAGCACCCATCACTTCACAAAAGGGTTGAAATCATGTGCAGAAATTTAATAAGACCCCATCTAAGTGATAGTGATGCTTGCTCCAATATATTATGTTGCCTTATAACTCACTTTTAATTCAAGAAAATATGTGTGTAACTTACTTTGAATAGTTTTTTAATATAAAATAATAATAATAATAATATAAATGTATTGATATTTTTAAAATATAAAAATGACAGTAAATGTGATAAAATTCATATTTTTTTAATATATAAAAATGAGAAAATTTAACATGCTCTTGACTGCATGCTGCGTCTAGAAAATAAATTGTTGACGAACGTCTGCACGCACATCATCGTCATCATCCATGAGCAGGTTCACTTGGAGACCCTACGGACCCCATCCAACTTAATATATGGTCATTGTATTAGCCAAAACTGTATCCCCTTCCTGAATGCTCGGCAAAGTCTACAAGCCACTCGTTATCATGAAGATTTTTTTTTCATAAATTTGTGGTTTAGAGTCTTGAATAATTGTAATGATAAGTTAACTTGATTAAATCTAGTTTTGTCACCATAATTTTTTTTAAAAAAATTATATTAATTAAATAAAAAATAATTAACTGGTCGAGCCAGCAACTCGGTAACCTAAACTTTTTTTTTATTTTTTTTTAACCACAACCTCGAGCTCAGATTCACAACTATTTTCAACTCCAAATATATATGGCCATGGTAGCAAGTTAATGGTAGCCAAATATTTATTGTAATACTATTCGGACAGTATCAGCCGACCAATCTTCTTTCATTCCCTTTTCTACACAATATGGACAAATTTTCCACATAAAAAAGTCCAATTATTGCTATATATATATATATATATATGGATACACTGATCATATCATCAAATCAAAGTTGGTGAATGGACTAGAAGTTGCCAACCCCCACATGTGCATTATTTCGAGCCAATAAAATAAATAATATAATGATGATCAATTCCTTTTTAAATGCAAAACACTTCTAAGCTTTCGAGGGTCAGCTAGTCTCTCGCGTGATTGCGTGTGTGTATTTAGTAACGGGATATAGAGTATTTAAAAATATATAAATAATTTTAAAAAAAAATTATTTGAAAATATTTTTTAAAATTTTTAATATCAACATATTAAAATTATTAAAAAATACTAAAAAATATTATTTTAATATTTTTAAGCAAATATTACACTCTTAAATATTCTTTAAAATGAATAAAAATAAGGGACATTCTATTCTTTTAATCAACTCTTAGTTTTATAAAACACAAATCAAATGAAATATTATCTTTCTCTCATAATTGGTAAAGAAGAATAAAATCAAACTTCTTTTAAAATGATAAGTTAATCTCAAATTGATCTTAATCTTCTCTTATGGAGATTGAAATTAAATTTTAATTCTATATAAGAATAACAAAATAATTAAAATATCTTGCATTCAAAATTAAGAAATATTATTTTTTAGAGGTATTTAATTAATTATGCTGCACAAAAAAAATAAAAAAACTCAAAAAGCCCTTTAACATAAGAAAAACAAAAATCTACTAACCCTTCTTTATCTTAATGAATAATGTGTTCCATAAAAGAAAAATACGATTCTACCCATGAAACTAAGCAAAACGCATAATAAAAACATGAGCTATTTTAACTTTGGTTATAATAATAGCAGTGAAAAAAGATGTAGTGCTAGTTATGGAAAGGACGTACCATCAGGATCTGAAGCAGCAGAAGCGAAGCGATTCCCCCATCAAAGACAGCAATAATGAGAGGAAGAAATTACAGTAAGGATTTCATTAAAACAAAGCAACCAAACAAGGATAAAGATTTTATTGAAATATCGAGAAAAATAAAAAAGTTCTACAATGTTACCTACCATTAATAGCTAGAAATGAAAAATGAAGTGAAGAATTAATATTGCACCTACCATTCATCCAATTCTTCTCTGGTTGAAAGTGGTAGGCAGTTCTTTGCCATGAGAACATAGCATTTGTCCAATTATAGGAGACCTTATCACTGAAAAATGATGGATTTGACTTTGGTGATACCCCTTGAGCCACTCCTCTTGGCTCTGGCTCAGAAAATGACTCTGTAGGTCGTGACGTTGAAGGTGACCGGTTATGGTTTTTCTCAGGTAATGACTCTTGGCTTTGGTTAATGATTAATGCAACTAAAGATAGCAAGAAAATGAGGGAGGCAAGTATTGCAGCAAAACCTTTAAAGTGTCGCCGGATTCTTGCCGGAGAAGGGTTGTCTAGCAAGGGAGTGTATGGTGCATGTTCAAGGTCAGAGGAGGTACGGGAGGGGTTAGTGTCCATTTCTTTTGGTGGGAGGTTCGAGATATGCAAAAGTGAAGTGAAATGAAAATGGGCTTAAATAGAGAGACGGTGCTGTGTCAGAGACCCCTTCGCTAGGTAGATCAGACTAGGTTGAAGAGTAGTGGAGGCTCCAGCATGATCTGGTTGTTTATGGGCGTGGATTTGTGGTTGTCCAACTTACTTGGGGAGAGAGGAAAATGGTCCTAATCAATGGAGCATGTTTATGAGTGAAAAGGGGAAACAAATAATGTTTAGAACCTAAATAGTTGCTTTCGAATATAGGATACGAAATATTATTTTACAATACTCAAGATATAACCTGTATAGAAAAGGAAATAAATGTTTATTAAAACAACGACATGAAATATACAGCGGAAGTTCAAGCTTTGAATGGTAAAGTTCAAGGAATTAGGAAAGTGTATAATCGGAGGTAGGTGTCAGCTTAGCTTCATACCTTCTAGTCAAACTCCTTAAGCATATCTTTAGGGATTGAGATTTTTTACAAGGAAAGACACATGCAGAAACACCTCACGCTACCTTGCAATAACACACAGTAAAAATAGTAATTTCTGCATACCAAGATTGAATTTTTAAACTGGCTAATTATATACATTTGGAAATTCCTGTTTTATATGGCAAAAATTTGTTCCGGAATGCGCACTGCAAGTTAACAAGCCATTGAGCTGCTGCAATTCTTTGAAGAAACGTGATTATGTCAAGTGTTATTAGGAGATGTAGGTTGCAGGGGTGGGAAAAAAAACCGAAAAATTAATTAAATTAAAATATCAAATTATATATATAAAAAATTAAATTGATTAGAATAAAAAAAAATGATTGTTTTAATTTGATTTTAGTTTTATAAACCTGAAATTAAAAAAACAAGCTAAACAGGAAAAGAACTGAGCCAAACCAATTTGAAATGGTTTTTTTTTTAAATAATCAAACCAAAAATGATTGGTTTGAATCGGTTCCAGTTTAATTTTAGTTTGATTTTAATTTTGGTGTTTTAACAAAAAAAAAACCAACTGTTTTAACTTGGTTTTAGTTTATAAACCTGAAATTAAAAAAACAAGCTAAACGGGAAAAGAACTGAGCCAAACCAATTTGAACTGAATTTTTTAAAAATAATCGAATCAAAAACGATTGGTTTGAACCGGTTCCAGTTCAATTTTAATTTGATTTTGATGTTGGTGTTTTTTTTTTATATTCTGGTTATTTTTTATAAAAACCAAATTAAATAAAAAACAATAACCATGGTAAATTAGATAACTTGAAGACATCGGTTTTGATGACCAAACATTTCATAGATGTCCATAATTTAGTAAGGACCAATATTAGCCATTTGAAAATTAAATACTTCAAGAGGTAATAAATTTAATTTTTATTAATTGAAAATCTGGTTAATTAAAAAGAGTTTTATTTTTTATTAAAAAATCAAATAAAGTTTTAATCGGGTTGTAAAGTAACTCAATAAGTTGATCAAATTTAATGATATTAATTCAACACAAACCTTGAATTATTTGGCCACCGGGTTGATTTGAAAGTGGGTTTAATAACATAACATTTGAGTTTTTATTGGGTTTTGCGATTTTGAATAACCGACAAGTTGTTTGAATATGTCTCGCCATAGTTACTGCAAATGATATATATTGTCATTTAGGGTAATCACATTCCTTTCGAGTTTCTACAAGCTAAATAGATGGCCTTAAAAGCTGGACTTCTTAAAGAAGGAGCATATGAAGATTGATGCTCCTCATGCTTTGATTTTCAGGAGATTGGGAGATTCAGATCCAACACACATCTTGCGGCCTAACTCTGTAGCTGATTGTTTAGCTAATTTTGACTTCACCAAGAATTCTTTTGATGATATTTAATATTGTGTTGCAGCTTGATTAGGTCTATTTTATCTCATTTAATTTAATTTAATTTTTTTGGGGACCATTAGACCTTGATTTTGACAACAAAAAATTAATAAATAAATAAATGGCTTCGAAAGCTTGCCGCAACATCTTAGGAAGCTGTTTGAGAAAGCAGCTAAAATAATATTTTATAAAAATTTAATTTTTTTATTTAAAGTTATTTTTATTTATTAAATTTTTTTATGTGATGATTTTAAAAATATTTTTTAAAAAATAAAAAATATTATTTTAATATATTTTTAAATAAAAAATTTATATTTTTTAAAAATAATTGATATCATATTCTCATATAATTCTTTCTTTGATAACCAAACATGTCCTTTTCAGCCAATTGTAAGGGAAAAAAAAAGAGCAAAACTATATATTAATGAGATTCTTATTTCAACTTTGTTTAAAATCTACATCAAAATGATAATATAAAAGTAAATTTACTAACAACATTTTATAATGGAAGAATTCACTTCCCACTTAAACTAAAAAGGCATAGGGATGCACCTTGGATTATAAAAAATAATTTTTATTTTTATATTACTGATAGGAAAATGATATATTTGAACTTTTGTATCTTGATAAGAATTGCTGAGAAGGTTCTACAACAGTCTACACGTGTGCTCCATGTGGTAAGGGAAAAGTGTTAAATAATGACATGGAAATTAGCAGTAACTCCAATTTCTGTGATTGATTCTGACAACTACAAGGTCGGAGGGCGTGAATCTAGGCCTTTTTTCCCCTTCCTGAGAGAAAGCAATGGAGAAAAGCTACTCCAACCATGACTTTCACAGCATAAATCATTTTAAAAAAAAAAAAGAGTTCAAATGTATTAAATATTAAAAAATTTGTCTAAATTTACTTGATTGAATTTCAGTTTAGAATATTTTAACTTATAAATTTCCAAGAATAACTTAGGTTTAAAAAATTTATTTAGATTTACTTAATTTTATAATTTTTTTATTTTATTTTATTTTATTTAAATGATTGGAGACTAGCTTCAATATTTATTTATTATAGAATTTTTTATATTATACTATTATTTTTTGACGGATTAGATGAAGATGCAAGATGTAATTTATATATATATATTTTTTAATATTTAATTACTTAGAACAAAAATAGTGATATTTAAACTTTTAATCATATGATTATTGATTAAAAATTTGATATTATGTTAAAGAATTATGTTAATCTAATAATTTAAAAAATTACAGAGATATAATTAATATATATTATACTTACAGCTTAGAAATACTTTTTATTGTAAGGTAAAAAAAAAACAGATATTTTGTATATATTAAATTTGATAATGGTAAATATACGAGAAACTAATTGATCTAAAACATACATATGGAGACACACACAGAGTAAGAAACATGGGGTTGCATCATCTCCCTTCGCCATCATGACAGCAATCATAAAGGTTGTGTGTCTGGTAAACATGGGAACATGTGAGATGACTAGACGTGTCCAGATTGATTGTCTCTTTAGCCCTTTCAGCAAAACCACCATGTGAAGATGAAGCTACACCATGCATGTATCCAGATTTTGGCCACAGCATTCTTAGATCTTGAATTGTTTGCAGCATTTGCTCGAAGAATGGTAGCTAGCTAGCCATGAATTTCAGTTAGGAGATCACATGATCTAGCTAGCTGATCATGGAATCCAATTTCTATAAAGGCCAAAATAATCCCATCCCTGGCATATATATTCCCGTCCTCAATGCCCACACAAACTCCTATCTTTTATCTGTCATCTCATCATCGATTCAAATACCATTTTATATTTTGAATATACATAGCTTGAGGATAGCATTTCAAATAATATATTACTTGAAAAGTTCGAGCATTGTATCATTAAAATAGAAATCGTGTTCCATGCCGTAAGTGGCTGTTTCTCGCAATCAATCTACACCTCTTGCCGGCATTGGTTTGCTTCAAATAATTAATTACTCTCTTGTTTTCATTATTAATTTAATTGGTTCATATGTACTTGATCGATATTCCTCCATTAGATCATCCATTTAAATATTGACAATCCATTTGTTGGATTATCATATGAAGAAGATGTTTGGAATCGAAAGACTTGTGTTACCCTTAAATTAAGGTTGAAAATCCAGCCCACACTTCAAGATACTTCTATTCTTGAGTCAAAATTTGAATTCCATGGTGTTATTCAATTATTTTCTAACAAGTGTTATTTTCTTTTAATAGTGTTCACCATCCTACCATCAAAGCTCGTAATCAATGAAGTAATATTTATTTATTTTTTATTAGAGAATAATTTAAATTTTGTTTTAAAGTATTATCTAACCATTTTAATTTTTAAACTAAAATAATTATTAAAGGATTGTATTTGCATTTCACAATATCTTATTTTCATTTGATGAGATATATTACAAAAAAAATATTATATAAAATATATTTTAAAGCATTAACTCATTCATCAGTTTAATTTCTTGAGTCAAGAGAAAAACTTTCACTAAATTTAATCAAACTTATTTCGTCTTCCGTTCATTCTTATCTCATATACGTAATCCTACCATCAAAGCTCGTAATCAATGAAGTAATATTTATTTATTTTTTATTAGAGAATAATTTAAATTTTGTTTTAAAGTATTATCTAACCATTTTAATTTTTAAACTAAAATAATTATTTAAGATATTACAGAATTTTAATTATTAATTAAAGGGTTGTATTTGCATTTCACAATATCTCATTTTCATTTAATGAGATATATTAAAAAAAATATTATATAAATTATATTTTAAAGCGTTAACTCATTTATCAATTTAATTTCTTGAGTGATCAAGAGAAAAACTTTCACTAAATTTTATCAAACTTATTTTGTCTTCCGTTCATTCTTATCTCATATACGTTAATTTGCTTGGTTTTTTCGAGCAATGTTTCTCTTCCTTTATTAAACCTTGCGTTATTGAATACTAATATTTAATACTAATATGTTACGAATATATGGCGTTCTTGATCATCCTTGTTGATATATATATATATACACGAGCATGTACCTTCTTCCTAAAAAAATAAGCTGTGGCTTGTGCAAGAACACAATTTTTAATTCTTTTTTTTTTTTTTTATCATTCCTTGTTGATATAGACCTTCAAAAGAATTCCAATATGAACGTTCAAATCCTATCTAGAAAGATGATAACTCCATCATCTCCAACTCCACGCCATCTTCAAAACTTGAAAATATCATGGCTTGATCAGTTTCTCTCACCGCATAATTATTTACCTTTCATTTTCTACTACCCATCCAATGGTGATGAAAATAACGAAGAAAGAAGCAAGCAATTACAGAACTCTTTATCAGAGATATTGACCATCTTCTACCCACTTGCAGGAAGGTACATTGATAACAATCTCATAATTGATTGTAATGACAAGGGAGTTGAATATATAGAAGCCCAGGTAAGCGGTTGCCTCTCACAGCTTCTCGAAGGAGGAGAACTTGAGACCGAGCTGCGGAACCATTTGGCTCCACATCCAGTTCAACCTGACAACAGTCCTCTAGTACTAATCCAATTCAACATGTTTGAATCCGGTGGGGTGGCCATTGGCTTGTGTGTGACACACAGGGTGGCTGATGCATATACAGTATTTACATTCGTTCGTACTTGGGCTACAGCATGTAAATTAGGGGTTGATAAAGTACCACATTCCCCAAGTTTCCAATTGCCTTCCTTCTTCCCATCAAGAGATACAATATCTTCTCCTAATCGATTCATCGGCCGCAATCATCACAAGATTGTGGTTATGAAGAGGTTTGTGTTTACTGGTGCAGCCTTGTCGAAACTGAAGGCTGTTCTTAGTGCCAGTACTGTCAAAGGATCACACCAGCCGACACGAGTCGAGGTCGTGACAGCAGTTATATGGAAGACACTAACAATGGTGGCTCAAGCGAAACATGGTCGGTTAAGGCCTTCCCTCTTGTCGCATACGTTTAACATGAGAGGGAAGATAGCAATGCCTATACCTGATAATTCTTGTGGGAACTTCATAAATGTGGCACTTTCACACTTTACAGCAGATGATGAGACCAAGGTGCAACTTCATGACTTTGTAGATAGTGTTTACAACGGAATAAAGAATATGGTATCAGATTGTGCAAGAGTTTCAAGTGATGATGAGTTATTTATTATGGCGGAGAAGATCAGGATCGAGACGATAAAAGCATTTACCAGAAGCGAAATGGATCTCTATATGTTCAATAGCTGGTGTCGGATGCCAGTTTATCAAGCAGATTTTGGCTGGGGAAAACCTGGTTGGGTTAGTGGATTGTATGTGCCTGGTGTTGAGATGGTTTTTCTTGTAGACACTAAAGATGGTGATGGAATTGAGGCATGGGTGAGCTTGGAAGAAGATACTATGCTGCTTTTTCAAGAAAATCCTGACATTAAGGCATTTACTGGCCAAGAATTATAGTATCATCACTACTGGACAGAGTCTTGATTCCGTACCTCATGATAGCTTTAAGAGTTTGATTTTATCGGATCATGTCCCCGAAGAGACTACTCAAGGGAATTGACTTCGAGAATAAATTATATGATACTAACAAATTTCAAATAATATGAGTGCAAGAAACTTGGCGTGTTAAAAGTTTTGCAAGAGTATGGCTTCAACAAGAAATGGAACCCTTTGATGAAGAACTTGAGCATGACACAAGTAGTGTCCTCCCAAATCTTTTAGTTGTGTTAATTTTATTACAAACATTTTTATTACCACAACTTGCATTCTCCGTTAGTGGTAGTTAATAGATCCGTCAAGTATGCATGCGCTTGTCATTTCCTTGCATGTTGGTGCACGAAACAAAATTCCAATTTGTAATTGAAAATAAATTGTACCTTATAATTTGGATATTCCAAGAACCTTCTATCGGAGTTATATTGGTTAAGGTAGTAGCCTTCGTTAATATTCTTTCTCTACAATTTGAAAAAAAATGCTCCAAAAACTTGAATAACATCCAAATGATGACATTACATTGCCCATCATCCATCAGCAAAGTTAATGAAATGCACAAAACAAGAACAATAACTTAAACATTAGGATAAAAACTAGGAGGTACAAGAGGAGGTATTTCTATATTTAAAAGAATTAACAAATATTTAGGATTGACTGACTCTACCTTGAGGGTAAACCGACCAAAACTGAAGAAAGAAGGGAGAAGGGGGGTTTAATATACTCAAGACATGATGGCATTCTTCGGAAGATCATTAAAGAAGGGAATTTACAATTAAGACAAGAAGATTCGAGCAGAAATAGTTATGTAGGATGATGATGGTCCTCAGGTCTCTAATGGAAGTCTTCTCTTCTTTGCATCTCTGCTTCAAAACCACTTGCGAGTACTTCCTAGAAAAAAACGTATAAAATCTTTCATGTTGTATATTATTCTCCTCTTCTTTGTACATTCCTTATAGCATTTATTGAGCACTTGACTTCTTCCACATCACAAGGGACTTGAGAAACTCCATGACCTAAGATGATGACAAGCAGATGATAGCCACATTAAATTGCTGGGGACTACAGATCATTCCTAACGTAGCGCAAAGGCAGAAAAGAAACCTCATGGAGACAGAGAATTAAAGGATCCACGAGACATGTTTCATGAAGCATTTCTGAAGTTAAAAAGTACTTCGAATAAGAATAAATTGTACCTCCGATGGGTCCCTGAGAGAGTAATATGCATTGCTTTCCTTGGGTGATTTTGATACCAGTATCCCATAACCACAGTTCCTCTCTCTCAAAATCTATTGCATGTGCATCGAAGTAATTCAGCAGATAACTAAAGAACATGTCATAAAAAATTCAGCAGCATATGCTTAAAAGAAGAATGTCGGGGTATTTTATCCATAGATTACCTTAAATGCATCTTCATCTGTCCGGTCATCTCCAACATAAATTGGGAGCACGTCATCACAATTGCTGAGACCTAAAACATATTTTTGTTGCAACTCAGTATAAAGCAAAGCTTAATATTCTATAAATCATTTGTAACAAACAGTTCAGGAGTAAAAAAGTTGCTCACCTAGTGATTCAAGTAGAAACACAAGAGCTTTCCCCTTGTCCCAATTGATCGTGGGACGAATTTCTAAAACCTAATCATTATGAAAATAATAGAACATAAATAATAAATTCTTAAAACCAAAAGGAGCGGAGATTATCAAAACTAAAAATTTAAGTACAGATGATTTTATATGATAGATCTAAAATTTACCTTCCTCCCAACAGTCAATCGCAGGCGAGGGTACTTCTTAATGACATCTTCGACACACTCCCAAACTGCTTTCCATTTCTGAAAACAAATTCAACGAAGAATGATTAAAACAGGAATAGCTCCTTTGTGTGGCACAAAACACGAGAAGTGGATAGAAAATTCAAGATTTAGATGCTCAAAAAAGAAACATACATCTTCATCAACATTTCGGTAATGTACAGAGACACAGAATTTATTGTTCTCAACTGTTGCACCTTTAATTTCTTCGGTACTCTTGACAAGGGAGCTAAAAACCTGCAAGTAAGAAATCAAGAATAAGCAAAACAAACAAAAGCACATCAAAATTGGCATTGAAGAGAAGATATTCCCAGACCTCGTCGATCATAGGTAAAAATTCTCTAGCTGGCTGGAATAAATTAACTTCATTTCCCTACATTCAGAAAAATGAAATGAAACTCAAATTAGAAAATTAAGGGCAGATGTGAAGACGCTGCAAGGAGATGTCAAGATTTTCATGGAGGTTTACCTGCGTGTCTGTAGACTCGATACAATTTGGGTGATCATCAGATGTAGACTGTCTAACAGGGCCCATGATATCCATTCCATGGCTACCCGCATAATAGAGTTCTGTTAGACCTACAAACTCGTATACCTGAATAACAAACCCACCAAGGACGAATGAAAACATGAACCAAGGAAAATAAATGCTGACAAAGTCATCAAAAAGTGTTTTCATTTATTTTAAAACAAGTTTTTTAGTAACCTTATCACGGCTTCTTCCACTGATTATTGCTGTGGGGAAATATTTTGCCACTTTCTTTACAGCAGAACGCATCTATAAAAAAATGCAGGACTTCAGTGATGACGGTAAAAAAGAACAGGATAGGAAGTGAATCTCAACAGTAAATTTTCCATATATGCCATTAAGAAACTATTCTTACAACATCAGACATGAAGGCATTGTCAGGATTTTCTACAATCGGCGATAGAGTACCATCATAATCCAGGAACAAGGCGATTCTCTTGCCTTTTGCAAAGTTTGCGATTTGCTCAAAAGATGCAAGAGCAGATGGATATTTAAGCTGCATGATGAAGAAAGATGCACAAGATCATAAAAATTAATCATCTACCAATATAACAATAATATAAAACATATAAATGAACTTGAAGGAAAAGAATTACAAGCCAAGTGTGGTAGGCAGCTTCCGGATCAGGCGAGGAAAGCTCTATGTTAATATCCTTGTTAAACTTCTTGTGAGGAGGAGATGATGATTTCATTGCGTCCAGCCAACCAATGGCGCGAACATCATCAAGAACTCCAGTTTTCTTCTTAGGAATAGATAACCATAGATTCGGTGAAAAAGCTGCACCACCTGAGGGTGAGCATGGGAACAAACCATGATGCCCACCCAGTCTTGACTTGCCTAGGGGTGCAGAATCAGTGAGCACAGGAGCACTGTGATTTGATTTGAGGTCCATCGGATCCAGGTGATCCAGATTCGCAAGATAATTTATAACGCCAAAGAAAGCAAATGCTAACAGTAGATTGTCCTTGCAAATTGAACCTATAACAGATTTTATTGGATGTCAGGTATTTCTTCACCCAACCCTTTTATCGAGGAAGAACCACCTCTTCAGAGTTATCTTGTCACTGCTGCTTGGCAAGCAGTCCATCAAGCACTGGGCTCCTGAATGCTAATGGCCATAACAAATGCTCATAAAAATATAATCAAGTACAATGTCAAGTTTCCCTTCAAAGAAAACCAATATCCAATTTACCTATAGGTTTTCATCGCCTCAAGCACGATGGGCCAAAAAAGGGCTTGAAAATGCTGTTAATATTTTTGCTTTCACGTTCCACAGGAAATCTTCAATCCTCTGCAAAGCATGGAGAAACAACTAAGTGATGCAAGAGACACCAAAACAAAGCAGTTTTAGTAAAGCCTAAAATAATCTACTGTATGTAGCAGAGATGTTCAAGTTGAATGTGCAAATGATTGTGCAAAACGAAGCAATCATTAAAAGAAAAGGAATAAAACCCAGAAAGCAGTTCCCAAGTAGGCTTGAACAACCTTGGTGTGGCAAATAACATTCTCAAAAAATAATGGACTCGGTAATTTGCAAATCAGTACCAAACCACAGAATTCAACTCGCATGAGAACTGCCACTAGACAGAACAGAAATATATCTTACACTAAGTTATCTATTCTGTATCCATTTTAACTAGAAAGCCAAAACATTTTCAACTGGTCGTTAAGACTCTGATTTTCAAGCATTCACAATTAACTATTTTAATCATTCTCCCTATATAGTGTACTAATAACATTATTAACCTAAATAGCAGGCAAACATCATGGAAAAAGAACACTAAAGCAAATCTATGTAACCCGACAAACATTAAAAAAAATACAACAACAACAGTGTTCAGCATTAAAAACTGGCCCACGAAGATGATATCTGGTAAGAGAAAAATACGAGCGAATGGTAGTTGTGTACAATAAAAAGCTGTCTATACACATGTATCCCCACATGGTAGAGATTGAAGCATGCCATAAGCAACCACACATAATGGGCCTGCGTTACAAGCATGGAATCATTAAAACATCTGGGCCCGGAAGATTTATCAAACTGATGTGAATATATATCATAAATGCAAATTAAAAATTAAAAGAAAATCATTTATTTTCAATAACAAAGATATCTCCACACTTTTGTTGCTATTGCTATCACATTCTTCTACTCTAAACTGAACAACCCAACACCAACAACAACACCAATTTCCCTCAAAAAAGAAAACCAGTCATACACAAATAACATAAACACAAAGTACTGAAACCCCCATATAACAAAACCACTCAAAAAACCATTTTTTTTAAAAAAAGAAAGAAAAATAGAAAATCCCAGATAATAAAACCACTCAAAAAAGCTTCTTTTTTTTTCTTCAAAAAGATAAATCCCGGATAGTAAAACCACTCAAAAACTTATATTTCTTTAACATGGAGGAGAATCTGCGTGGATATTCCAGCGAAGGAAAAACAAGGATTCATGAACACGATTTTAACGCAAAAAAGAAAAGAGAAGAAAAAAAGAAATTGACATATGACATTTGACATTTGACGACGACCATTTAGCGTATAAAAATCGGAGAGATAAGAACAAAGGCTTGTATCACCAACGTCATTATTGCTTTATCGAACACACAGCTGTGAAAGCAAATATCGTTTTTGCCGTTACGAAATAAAAACTGAAAAAACTGACAATAATTTTAATTTTGACCAAAGGAAAAGGTCACAATAACAAACTAATAAAACCAACACCAAAACTGAAATCAGATTCAATTAATTAATTCTTTAAAAGAGAGAGAGAGAGAGAGATGCAAGCAATGAAACAAGCAGCAGAAATCAATTTTTTTTCCTCCAAGCAAAAAAAAAATGGCAGAAACGTTTCTCGTGTAAGAACGGGTATAAAGAGAATCAAAAACACAGACATGGAGAATTTGACGACAAAAAACGCTGTCGTTTATAAAACAAAGAGCATTCCAGCTTGCAAGACAGCAGAGATGGATGAGAAACTAAGGAAGATTGGACAGACAAGCCGTCGTTTCATGCATAGAGGAAGATTGGACAGACACGCCGTCGTTTCATACATGGATATAAGAAAATTAACGTACCTAACAGAATCTCCAATCCGAAATGAAAACGACGCTAAGGAAATCTTTAAAATGCAGGTACCTTCCTTCAAGAATAAAACGCAAGGAATCAGATGAAACGAAACCGTTTAGATATCTTACAGTCGTCGTAACGAAATGAAACGAAGAAAGCCAGCCCCAGCCCCCGACACCAGAAAATAGACTTCCTTCGGAAGAGAAAGAGAAGAGGAAAAAAAATGGGAAAATACCTTTTTTTCTGAAGAATCGCAGATAACGAGAATCAAGCGATAGAAAGATTTCTTCCTCTTTGACGCAAAACGAGGAGGAGCTAGAGATAGGGAGGGCGAGAGGAGAGAAGAACGTTGGTTGCGGAGAGCAGGCATTTATAAACAAGAATATAGTTTTTTTATTTTTTATTTTTTATTTTTTAAATGAATGTGTATTTTAAGCCTAATTTCACGGTATTTAAATTAGAAAACCTCTCAACTGTCACGCTGTTGAAATAGTAATTTTTCAGCAAAAAACTATAAGCATCAGTTGGCGCGTTATGTTTACGCGTACGTTTGGTGACTGTTGAGAGTGGTGGTGGTGGTGGTGGAGGTTCGGTTGTCAAGCAGCGAGGCTGGAAATTTGATTTGATAGAAATGAAAAATCACTCTTTAAATGAAAAAAAGACTAAAAAATAACTTATTTTTTAATGCAGAAAATAAAACTTTGGTTTGGTGGTTTTCTCACATGTTAAGAGAAGAATTTTGTTTTACATTTGTCTTAAGATTTAATTGGTAGATGAAAATTAGTTAAAAATATTCTAATTCTATTCTAAAATTATATTTGCTTTTAATTTCTTTGATTTTTTTAATGTAACTTATTATTATCTTGATATCATAAAACTTATAGTAATAATCCTTGGTGGATTAAGAATATGACTTTAAAATATATATTTTTAATTAATAATAAAATAATTTTTTATTCTTTTTAGTGAAAATAATTTGCAAATATCATTTATTAAAAAATAACTTAATCATGGTTCTAAACAATATTAGAATAAACAAACAATTAATTAAATTTATTGGTAAAGGTCAGATGTCACGATACACAGGTACTTAAGTATTAATCTTCCTCTCTTTCAAGTGTTGTTCTTTTTGTTTTTTATTATTAATTTCTATTAACTTTTCACAAAAATTCAGAAACATAATAAATATGATGTTACAATATTACAATATTATATTTTACTTTTTATAAATATCAAAAAACATGTTAAATATAATTTAACAAGATATATAATAAAAAAACTCAACAATATTAAATTGCAAAAAAATAAAAGTATAAAAAATTATGCATATTCTTATTGTTGTATATAATATTTTTTGAAAATAATTTTACTTGAGAATATATTAAAATATCTTTTTAATTTTAATATTAGCATATTAAAAAATTTAAAAAATATATAAAATATATAAAATTAATTTAATAATACTTTTAAAAAATATACTCACAAAACTCCAACAAAAAAAAAAACCTTCTTAAGTTTTGTTTATTCAGTTGGTGATTAAAAAAAAAGGGTCTAACTAACGCGGGGTCCAGGGGGATCTTAGAGGGCAGACAACACGTGGGAGTGAAGACTTGTCTGACAAAGCGCGTGAGAGCACCTGTAAGTGAGTCGATTCTGATGGGACCATGTTTCAGCGCGGGTCCTACTATAAACTTGTTTGCTCCGTTTTAACCTCTCTTTTTTAAGTATTTTTTATTTAAAAAATTAATTTTTATTTTTTTAAAATGTAAAAATAAACGTTTTATTTAAAAAATTAATTTTTATATCACATATCAAGTGATTTAAAAATATTTACAAAAATATTTTTAAATTAAAAACTAATTTTTTATTTTTTTAAAATGTAAAAATAAACGGGTTATAAAAAAAAAGGGGACACCCGAAACATGCCGTCGCTTTCACAGCTGGGTGATGGTCATCAGTGACGATCGTTTAATGTATCAGGTCCCACGTGGCAGGAATTGCGGGTAGTGAGCCTAAGCTGCTCTAAGTAACTGTAGCCACGCGATGATGTGGGGTCCAGTAATTTTAGGGTCCAGTTATGGTAACCACGTAAATAACTAAAGGTGGCCTAGATGGAGATTTGTGGGACAAAAACTGAAAGGGCACCGTAAACCTTTTTTTTTAAAAAAAAAACAATCTGACTCGTTATCGCCTGACTTTCGCTCACCTTAAAACCTGACCGGCGCTTCGATTCGAAACAAGCTCGATCAATTTTCGTCTTGAGCCGAGTTTTAAAAATATAATCTAGAAGTTGATTATTAATTTGATTAAATTAAAAATTTTAATTAAAAATATATAATAAATATATTTTTATTTTTATTTTATGATAATTCATTATAAAATAAAATTTATTTTTCAAGTAATCTTAATGATATGTTTTTCAAATTAGCATAACATATTATTTCATATACAATCATGAATATTTCAAAAAATTATAATATAGTTTATACAGGAACTCAATATACAGACGGCAAGTGTTTAAAATATATATTTTTTTTTAACAATAAAAAATAAGTGATTAAAATATTGAATGGGATTTTTCAAGAAACAATGTTAAAAAGAAAATGTATTTGGAATAAACTAATCGAATACATATACAGAATTTCTTAAAATACATCATGTCCCAAACAATTTTGAAGAAGTTATTAAGGTATAGAATAAGTTTTTTTTTCCCCCTTTTCTATGGATGGGAGCACATGTTTGACAGAAAAATGGAGACCATGCACGTAGAAGGAAAAGGTTGCACATAAAGTTTCATGCTGACAATTAAACTATGAACAAGGCTACAAGTCAAGACTTGTGGCGTCACTTGCGGTAAGGAAAGTTCCAGGTTTCATTGTCTTCGAGTTTAAAATTATATAAATTTGGTTTTACTGGGACTTCAAATTTGTATCTTTCTATCGAGAGAAAGTTTTGACTGCCACGGCACTTCACCAAACAAGTTAATCTCAGTAACATATAATTTTATTGCCACGAGGGCTGACCAAACAAGTTAATCTGAATAACATGTAGTTAATACCGGGTAATTTACTTGGGTCACTTTATAGGTCAAATTATTATTTTTTTAAATATAAAAAAATATTTAAATATTACTAATGATCTTTTTCAATAAAAAATTTATGTGATGATGTATCAATATAATTTTATTGACTTTACTGGTTTAAAAATAACTTATGAAAACAAATTTTAATTAAATAAAAATTTACGATAATATTTTTTTTAATATTAAAATAACAATATATTATAATAACCTTGCAAAATATGGGTTAATATGTCAAATTGATGACCCAAGTTATGATACTATAATAAGTCTGTTAAGAACATATAACAAAACTTATTAATTTTAATTTTTAATCAATCAAATATTAAAAGATAAAATTAAAAAAATAATAATTAAAAGATAATAAAAAAATACTCAAGTTAACATGTCCAAACCTACAATCTGGGTCATCAGACTAGGATGACTTTATAAAAAAATAAAAAATAACCTAACTTAACTCAAGTTAACCTGTTAAATTCACAACTTTAGTCTCAAGACTAAGATAGCCTCTTAGATAGAAAGTTAAAATAAATTGTAAAACTTAATTCTCGATCATTCATGTCGGATCTAGAGTTGAACGATGAAATTTATAAAAAATTTAATTAAAAAATAACATGAAAATTAAGTAAGGTAAACTTGAGTTGACCATTAAGTACTATTATCGAGTTATAAGATAATAATAATTTAAAAAATTATAAAGTTTAATTTTTAATCCAACACAATTTTAATTTTATATAATATTAATTAATAAAATGAGGTGTCAATTAAAAAATAAGTTAATTAAGTTAAACCGCAATCCGAGTCGTAAGACAGGAGCAATCCAATGAAAAACAAGTTTAATGTTTAAGGATTCATAAACGTAGGTAATAAGTTTAATATAAATTTCTAGGAAGAAATTTTTTAAAAAATGACCTAATTAAGTAGGGTTAAAATGTTAAAATTAATTGCTTTGATCTTTAATATTAAGATATCTTTATAAAAATTAAATTAAAATAGATTATGAAATTTAATTTCCAACCAATCAAATGTTAAATAATAAAATTAAAAATAAATTAATTAAAAAAACAAAAAAACAATATGAATTAACTTGGATTAATTCGATAAACATTAATTAGGATAATCTAATAATAAATAAATAAAAATCAATCATGAAATTTTATTTTTAATCAAATCAATATTAAATGATAAAATTATAAGAACAAACTAATTAAGAAAAAAAAATCCAAGTTAATTGGGCCAAAATATCAAACTAGGTTAGCTCGTTAAATATAAAATTAGTGTCACGGGATTGTAACAACTAAATATAAAAATAAAATTAAACAAGAAATATTAATTGAAAAAAGAGAGAGCAAAACAACAAGAAATAAAGTAAAATACTATTATAATAAATAATACATTTTGAGAGCATCATTAGTTTGAGTTAATAATTTAATTTTAACAATAATAATTTAATTTATTATATCCTAGATTAATTTAAAACAATTTGGACTTGGAATTTAACTTCACTTGATTTTTTATTGAATAAAATAAAATTTTATTCTAGTAAATTTTAATCAGACTTTCAGTATTACAATTATTATGGTTTCTCAAGTCTATTTTAAACTTGATTAGGTATATATCAAGAAAAAAATCACTTTTATACCTTTTGTTTTTTAATAAAAATAGTCAAACCAATAATTATAAGCAACTTCCTTTTCGAGTCAATTCTTAAATAAGATTTGATTATAACCACAACCGTGGAGAAAAACTCCCCCGTCGATGTGGACATCAACAATGTTCATGGCTGAATCTTTGTAGGCGGCAATGAAAAGGCATGTGATGGGACATCACGACCTGCCAGCTACTCAATTTTTCAAAATAATATTTCGTTATAGGTAAATTTGTTTAGGTGTTTTAAAAGCAATTAAAAATATTTTTTTAATTTTAAACTGGTTTTTTAATGTTTTTTATCATTTTTATCAACTATAAAAAATAACCATTACAACAATTTTTTTAGTATGAACTTCTCCGTTCTCCAAAATAAAATAAAATAAGAATTAATTATGGTACCAAAAGTCCTAGACACATCATTTAGATTTCAGCACTTACTGAATTTTCTTAAATAATCTTGAAACCTGAGTTGGAAAAGTTGATGACAGGGAGTTTTAGAGAATATTTTATATCACAGTACCTTGTGCTTTTTTTTTTAATTAACAAGAAAAATGTTGTTTGGTTTGTAAATAATATATTTTTTATTAGATTTTATATATAATTATTTTTAAAATCTTGGTT